CCGGTGCCCTCTTGGAGCCGTCTTGGGCCGCGCTGGGGCTGTCCTGAGGCCCCGAGGATGCCCCGAGAGAACCCCGAGAGAGTCCCAAGGAGGCTCCTGCAAGCGACATTTGCATGCACACTTTTACGTCGTATTGTTTCCGCGTGCTCCCTTGAAGCAAGAGGGTAAGGTTTTCCTCGATGTGGCATGCATTGCCGTTTGCCCCACGGCGCGGCGTCGTGCTCAACAACAACGTCCCCCGCCATGCCATTGCGGTTGCATGATGCACCGTGCACCTTGACCTGGGGCCCACTGGGGGTCGGCTTGGAGCCCTCTCGGAGCTCTTTTGGGGGCCTCAGAAGACATTTTTTCGGAGCCTCGCTGCGGCTTCGGGGGGGGGGGGGGCCTCGCCCAGCTCGCTCGAGGGAAACCGCGAGCTCCGGAGTCCGACCGCCAGCATCAATCGTCTGGCAACCCCCGCATATCCTAACATTCTCGGTAACCTAGGAAAGCGGGGCCCCGGGCGTCAGCCGAAATCGACGGCGAGTTGCTGTCGAATCCCTGCAATTTCCGCGAGGGGCCACTGTCGAGCATTGATTCTGAGACAAACACAAAACGCACGCGAGTGGTTAAGATGATCGGGTCAACAGTAGCACCGAAAAGTGTCAGCGGGCAGTCGTATGTTTCCTCTAGTTGCGGAGCCGCTCGCGCCCCAAGATGCAGATGCGATGGTGCCGCATCTGAAAACGTTGTAGACGCACGCGCAATAATGGCAGCGATGCCCCCATTGCTCCTTCGCCAACTCCGCCAAACAAGCACGCATTCCGACTCGATCGAGGAAGCTGCGCGGCACACTTGCTGCACTTCATGACCTCTGTTTGCGAATTCTTTTGGGGCGGCGCCGGTCGTGCCCCGAGAGCGCTTCGCGCGTGGGCAAGTCATTTTGCTCGAGTCTGCAGCCAACGCACGCGCGAACCGCATTGACCTCGAAAGCGCAAAACTCGCTACGCAAGGGCATGGTTTGCTAGGGGTCGGTTTGGCCGCCCCTGAGGCGAAGGCGAAGCGCGACCGCGGCGCGGGAGGAGAGAGGGGGGGGCGAGGCGGCGGAAGCCGGGGAAGAGGCCAGGCCAAGCCGAGCGGCGGGAATACGCCCGGCGCCCGGCTGCCGCAGAGCTGCGCCTGGAGGCCACGCACAATAACAGGGGCGGCGAAAGGGGGGGCAAAGGCAGCGGGCCGAGCCCATGGCCAGCGCAGGCATCACCGCCAAGGACCGGGCGGCGCTCTACGGACGCGGAAACTGGGCGCGGGCCCCCAGCGACCAGCCAGGAAGCAAAAAGGCGGGAGGGCGCCGCAGCGGCGGCGCCTCCCCGGGTGGAGCAGCGCGAGCAGCCGGCATGGGCGGCAGCCAACCTGCAGGGCCCATGGCCAGTGAAGCGGCGCGTGCGCCAACCGGGTTGGGGCCAGCGGGGCTCGCGGCGGAGCGCCCGCCACGGCGCCCCGGCGACGGGCGGTGGAGGGGGCGCGCAACCGGGAACGGCTGTCGCGCCGCGCGCAGAGGCATGGAGCCCGCGGCCAGCGGGTGATCGCGAGCTGGGCTGGGCCTCAGCCGTGGGCCCATGGCCAGTGGGGCGGCGCGTGCGCCAAACGAGCTGGGGCCACAGCAAAGCGCGGCACCCGGGGTGGACGCCGCGCTCGCGGGGCGGAAAAATAAAAGCCAGGGCAAGACCACAACAGAGCCAGGGCACGACCACCTGGGGTGGATGGCCAGCCTGGGAGCCAAAGAGTGGCGCATCGCCTGGGGCGGGAGGCGCGCCAAGCGAAACGTACCTAACAGGTGCACAGACAGGAAGACCAGAGACGCCGCGGGGCAACTCCTGGGGTAGAAGGCACCCCGCGGTGGTCACAGCCCAAGAAGGTCGGCGACGCGCTCCAATCCAATGGACCCAGGAGCTGCGTGGCAGGGTCGTCGTCGTAGGCCAAGCGCCCACGCGAGCGGGCCCCCCTGGGGCAGCGGCGCATGGCTGGCTCACAGCAGCTCATACTAGTGGAGGAAGAGTCCGAAGAAGTCGGCATCGCGCCAACTGGGGTCGTGGGTGCCACCTCCACGCTGGGCGCAGAATTTATGCCAGGCCGCCCCACTTTCACCCCCTATCTGCTGCAACCTCCTGACCCTGGCCACGAGGGCCCCCTGGAGCTCAGGAAATCGAGCAGGACGCGAATTGGGATGTCCTCCGGACGCGCCCGCCATTTGGCCTGCTTCCTATAGTCCGATTGGGCGCGGGTGTCTGGCAACGCGGCCCAGGCGCCCTCGACGAGATGCAGGAGCTCGCGCCGCGCGCGCTGAGGATAGAAGAAGAAAAACGGCATGCAAAATAAACTCTTGGCGCTCCGCGCGGATTTCTTGGATCCGCGCTAGACCCCCCTTCCCTAGCGCGCGTAGCGCGCAAAGGGCGGCGCCAGAGGCGCCGCCTGGGGAACCCAGCGCAGATCCAACAACTCCGCGCGGAACACCGACAATTTATGTTTATGCTGTTTCTTTTCTTAGAGAAGAGCTCCCCTTCGCGAGCTGGCGCTGGAGCTGCCAGCGGCGCCGGGACCGCCCGCGGGCCGTCGCGGCAGGAGCACTGCGAGCAGCTTCAGGATCGGGCAGAAGGTTCACGTACGGATGCGCGTCCGCGGTGCTCCAATCGTCGGCTCGAGCAGCTGACGCGGCGGGCCGCAAAGACGGACACCACGCGCGCAGCGCGCAGACTGGCAGGCAGGGCGCGGGCGGGGGCGTTGGAAGGGTCGGCGGGCAGGGCGCGGGGGGGGGCGCGTCGGGGAAGGCGTCGGGGAAGAAGCCTTGAGAAGCGCCATCGTGGGAGGCGCCGGGCGGGGCGTCGTCGGGAGGGGAGTCGGGAGGGGCACAGGGCTGGGCGTCGGCTGTGGCGTCGGGCATGGCGTCGGGCCCGGAGGCGTCGGGCTCGGCATCGTTGTCGTCCCCTTGGTCCGACCAGCAAGGCTGCGGGCGCGGGGAGCAGGGGGGGCGAGCCTCCGCCTGCGCGACGCCCACAATGGCCCGCCACGCGCGTCGGCCACGCCCATTGCGTTTCGGCGTCGGGGGCCGCAAGCAAGCAAGCAAGCAAGCAAGCAAGCAAGCCATGCATCGCGAAGACGCGCAGGCAGAGAAATGACTACAAAATTATGGTGGCACGCCAAACGCGCCCCGGAAGCAGCCCGCCAAACGCGCTGCGAAGACGATGGTGTGACGCAACGGCCTGCTTTCATACGTGAAGAAGCCTCATCCCGTACACATCGTGTGCCACTGCTGTCTTGGGCGGCCTCTGCGCCGGCGAAAAGCCCAGTCCTTCGGGGTGCCGTCTGCTTCGCATACGAGCTGCTTCACCAGGGAATGGCCTGGCTGCGCAGCGATTTTTCGGTACAGGCTGACTTGCCTGTCGTGCACTATCTGCGACAATGGTTTGGAGCCTGCCCTCTCCAACGCTGTTGCGTTAGAAATGCGCGAACAATACGAATGCGGGATACCCATGATTTTTCGTAAGCACCTGGAATGAAAAGCGTCTAAACGATCTCTGTTCGCCTTAAGCAGGCACAAGGAATCTAAAGAGCATAGAAGCCTGCTGACCACGCAACTGGCATATATGTAAAGTTTTCTATGTTTACCAATTGCTGCGTGCGCCCAAAGTTTCTGTAGCTGCTTGAATGCGTTCGTGTTTTCGCCAATGCGGCGGGATAACTCATGCTTTGCCCGCCCATCGCAAGACACGGTCCCACCCAAGTAGACGGCGTCCCGGACGTTCTTCACCGGCTCGCCCGTGGGCATTCTAATCGTATCTGCGCATGCGACTTGGATGTGTACCGTCTTGCCCCAGTTCATTTCCATGCCATATGTTTGCCCTTCCAGAATGATCGCCTCCAACATAATATGGAAATGTGCTAGATGTTTGGATACAAGCAATGTGTCGTCAGCGTAGAAGATATCACGGGTAACAATATATTCGGGCTCGTTTTCCAGAGCCAGAGGAGCATAGGCATCGTGCAGCATGACACTTTGCACTGCTATAAAAAGGTACGGTGACAAGGGGCACCCCTGAGCGATGCCTGCGCGTTGTTGCCTTTCACTGGAGCGCTGACAATGGTCCACGATGGTGAAAAACCGTTCTGAATAGATGCCTCTGATCATGTCTACCATAGGGGATGGGATGCCGAAGCGTTCGAGGGCTTTGCAAAGACAATCCGGCTTGAGGCGGTGGAAAGTTTGGCCCAATCCAGCAAGACCAATATCATTCCATCTCCCTTGTTTTGATACGCTGCGTCCACCATCCTCCTGATAAGCATGAGGGCGTCTGATGTACCACGCTTTGGACGGAAACCGAACTGGGATTCTCGCATGCGTCCTTCGGCTCCTCCTTGCACTAGCCGGTTGCGTATCATTGTTGCCAAAGCCTTGTACCCCACAGCTAACAAGGAGATGGGGCGGTAGTTGCCGGGGAGCGTGGCGTCGCCCTTCTTAAAAAGGAGGGACACATTCGCTGCTCCCCATGCTTTCGGCAAGCCTTTCTGTTCCCAACATTTGACGCACATCTGCAGTAAGGCTTCGCATGCGTAATCGTTTTGACCAACCGCTTTCCAAAATTCGGGCGGGATATCATCAGGTCCTGCTGCTGTCCGGCTTTACATTTTACGAAGGGCCGTCTGCAGCTCCAGCTTGGTGAAGGTGGTCGTGTTCACGCTGAGGGTCGGCCCTAAAGCTCGTGTCGAAGATGGTGTCAGCTCTGGGAAACATACCTGCCACTGAACCTTTTCAAAATAATCCGCCAAAACGTCGGGTCGTCCAGCGGTGCCGGCAAGGTGCCCATCCAAGTCTTTCACGCCCGCGTGTTTGGTAGCAGCAGGCCTGCGTAGTTTGCGCACTGTATTTGAGCAGGGGGCCGCAGCAAGGCGAAATTATCCTGAGCAGCCAACCGGCGGACTGTCAGCGCATCGAGCTCGACAGCGCCCAGCCCGTCACCGTCAGACTTGGCATCCTGCTCAGCCTCGAACGCTCGAACGCCTTTGGGTCAGGAATTGGGTTGCTCAAGGCCACTGCAGCTGGGAAGGCAGCCTGCAGGGTCAACTGGGGTCCGCTTGGGTCTGCACCACGCCCTGGCAGCTAGGCTCCGCTTTCCGGCCGCGGCGACGCAGGCTTTCCAGGACGAGCAACGGTAGCATTAGGTCGGGCCTGTCCCCCTACAAGGGGATTTTAGACGATTAAAAAAAAAAAAAAAAAAAAAAAAAAAATCGAAACATATTCAAAAGATGCCCAAAAACACTGAAAACATATTCCCCATACTACTTTTTGACTATTTTTGAACATTCCCCCTGTAGAGGGACACGCACGACTTAAAGGTAGCAGGATTCCCCCTCCTCCGACGCCCCGACAGGCCGGCCGTGGCGACGAGGGCTCTCCAGCACGAACCGCGGTGCCAGGACCTCCCCTCCCTCCGCCTCCCCGAAGTCCTCCGCCTCCCCGAGAGTCCGGCCGTGACGACGAGGGCTCGCCAGGACGAGCAGCGACACCAAGTTCGCCCCCTCCCCCGACGCTCTGGAGCTGCCCTGCACTCCCAGCGCAACTCCAACCATCGGCGGTGGACAAACCTCCCTTTAGTAAACCTCCCCTTAGTGAAAACGGCCTGGGACCGAAACCGACGGACCTGGACCCGCAAAAATGACGGCCGCGACGCCCTCTCGTGAACCGAAAACGGCCAATTCGCTAATCGACGTGTCAGGGTAGGAGGTCTGTCCAACCCCGAAACCAGGGGTGCGACTCACTGCCGTGCAGACAAAGGGAAAAGCGCCGGCCCAGCTCCCCCGGCTCAGCAGCACGACCTGGGCTCTGGCCGAGCTGCCTCCCGAGGGGCCCAGCAGTCGAAGGAGGGGGGGCGCTTGAGACATCCTCACGACTTGCCCCTTCTGGGGTGCTCCAATGCTATGCCTGGGAGAACTCGCCGATGACCCGCTCGGATCTGCAGCATGAAGCGCGGGTCCCATGAGGAGGGGGCTCCGGCCTGAGACTCCCCAGCAGCTCACTCACAAACCAGGCCCCCGCTCGACATCCACGCGATTTGCCTCTTTGGGATGCTCGAGTGATATGGCTGGGAAAATTTGCCAATGGCCCGCTCGGATTTCCAACATGAAACACGGGCCCCATAGGGAGGGGGGCTCCCGCCCGATACTTCCCTCACGGTGAGCATGTGTGTATGGTGATGATGAGTGATGATTGATGAGTGGTTGGTGAATCATGAGTGATGAGTGATGAGTGCTGAGCGATGACTGGTGAGTGATTGTGAAACTGATAAGGATGATGGATGATGGTAATGATGATGGTGATCATGAGAATGATGATGATGATGATAATTCTGATGAGAATGATGATGGTGGCGGTGTGTGAGCGTGTAAATTTGAATGAGTGGGAGTGAGCGCGTGATTATGTGTGAAATGATGATGGCGACGACGATGATGATGATGATGATGATGATGATGATGATGATGTTGATGCTAATGATGATCATGAACACGATGACGGCGACGATAACGACGATGACGATGATGATGGTGGTGATAATGATGATGATGACGGTGGTGATGATGATGATGATGACGATAATGACAGGAATGATCACGGTGGTGTTGATGATGATATGATGGTGGTGATGGTGATGACGGTGATGAAGATGATGATGGTGACGATGATGATGGTGATGATGATGATGAGTGGTGGTGATGAGCGAGTGTGCGAATTTGAACGAGTGCGAGTGAGTGCGTGATTGTACGAGATGGTGATGGTGATGAGGAAGACGATGATGATAATGGTGATGGTCGTGATGACTATTGTGATGAAGCCAATGATGGTAACAATGATGATGATGGTGATGATGGCTGTAAAGATGACGATGACGTCGATGATGATGATGATGGTAATGATGATGGTGGTGATGGTGATGATGGTGACAACGATGATGATGATGGTGATGGTGACGGGAATGATGACGACGTTGTTGATGGTAATGATGGTGATGCGGGTGATGCTGGTGATGGTGATGATTGTGATGGTGATGATGATGGTGCTGATGGTGAGACTGATGGCGATGATGCCAATGATGGTCATGGTGAGGGTGATGGTGATGGTGATGATGATGATGATGATGATGATGATGATGGTGATGATGATGGTTTCTGATGATGGCGGTGGTGGTTGTGGTGGTGATGATGATGATGCTGATGTTGCGCGCGTGTGAATGTGCAATGAGGAGAGAGGGGAAAAGGAAGAGAAGGAGGAGGAGGATGAGGAGGAGATCCGACGCTGGGGGGCGCAGAGGAAGCAAGGGCCCCACTTCGGATGTGGGAAAAACCGAATGACAATAAATGAATAGTGTGTTCTCTCCGTTTCGCGCCCGCTGCGCGTTTCAAGCCTCAAGATGGCCTCAAGATGGCATCAAGATCCAAATGGCCCAAGAGAGGCCCAAAAAAGAGCCCAAGAGGCCCCCTAGTCGGCCCCAAAAGCGCCCAACAGCGCCCTAAGAAGGCCCCCAAAGGCGACTGAGACGGCTCTGATATGGGGGGGGATCGGGACCGAAAATGCGACGAATTACAACCAACTGTGACGGAATCCAACCATTTCGGCCCCAACCCCAACCAACTGGGACCAATCGCGATCACTTTTTAAGCTGAACATGTTGTCGGGAGGTTTCTGCGAAGTTCCTCATGGAGATTCCTGGGGGCTCCGTAAAGGTTCCTTGGAGGCTCCTTGGAGGATCCTTCAAGGTTCCATGGAGGTTCCTTGGAGGCTCCTTAGAGGCTGCTTATGGGTGTCCTTAAAGGCTTCTTAGAGGTTCCTTTGGGGTTTCATTGCGAGTTCCTTTGAGGATTCTTGGGGGTTCCTTGGAGGTTGTTCCTCGGAGGTGCCCTTGAGGGCTCCTTAGAGGTTTCCTTGGAGGCTTCTCCGAGGCTCCTTTGAGGCTCCTTAGTGGTTTCCTCGGAGGTGTCTTCAAAAGCTTCTTAGAGGAGGCTCTCTCGAGGTTTCCTTATTAAAAGCTTCCTGCGTGATTCCTAGAAGGATTCCTGCGGGTTCCTCTGGATTCCGTAAAATTCCTGAGGAGTCCTTCGGTGTCGTTTGGGTTCCGGAGGGTTCCCGAGGATTCCTCCGAAAACCGGGGGATCCCTGAACTTACAGGCTCCTTAGAAGCTCCTCGGGATTTCTGGAAGATTGCCACTGCATTCCTGTCGGATGTCCAACTGGCGAGATCTGTCCTTCGGATGCTTGCCTTGGTGAGTTGAGCCCCCGCCCTCCTCGCACCCCCCCCGCGCCCCCGCGCCCTTTTCCCCCGCGCTTCCCCCGCCGCCCCCGGGCCCCCCTCCCCTCATTCCAACCGTGCACCTGCCCCCGTGCTCCTCCCATTCGCCCCGCTTCCTTCGCCCCGTGCCCCCCCCACGCCCCGTGACCTTCCGCGCCTTTTCCCCCGCGCTCCACCCGCCTTTCCCGAGCCCCCCCCCTGCATTCCGACCGTGCGTCCCCTCCTCTCCCGCTCCTCCCCTGCGCCCGTCTCCCCTTGCACCCGTGTTCCCCCCGCGGTCCCCGGACTCCCGCGCCTGCTCCTCCGTGCTCCCACCGCCCTCCACAATTACTCAATACGAATACTACTCTCCCTCTTCCCGTGTTGGCGTGCTGGGAATAGCCGACCCCCCCCGCGTCCTGCTTTTTTAACACAGGATTCCCGGGAGTTGGGATTTCGCCTGCACTTGTTGTCAGAATGCTGCTCTCGCTGAGGCGCCGGCCTCATTTTCGGGCCCCGCTCGTTCCGAATCGTGCTCCCGCTGCAGCGCTGGCCTCATTTCCGCGCTTCCGCCCGTTTCGGCTCGCGCTCCCGCTGCAGCGCTGGCCTCATTTCTGCGCTTCCGCCCGTTCCGACTCGTGTTCCCGCTGCAGCGCTGGCGTCATTTCCCGTGCCATGCCACAGCACACGCGCACACACGCACACATATACACACTTACACTTACACACACACACACACACACACACACACACACACACACACACACACACACACACACACACACACACACACACACACACACACACACCACCACCACCACCACCACCACCACACCACCACCACCACCACCACCACCACCACACCACCACCACCCACCCACCACCACCACCCACCACCACCACCACCCACCACCACCACCACCACCACCACCACCACCACCACCACCACACCACGCACACACGCACGCACGCACGCACGCACGCACGCACGCACGCACGCGCACCACCACCCACTACGCACGCGCGCGCGGAGCCACAGGTCCGCTACGACACGCGTCCGCGGATAGAGAAAATCAGCGCCATGGTAAGGGATGGGAGGGAAGGGTAGGATGTCGGATATCACGCGAGCGCACCTAGCTTGCCGGGCCCCCCTCCCCTTATTCCGACCGCGCTCCCCGGGCCCCCCTCCCCTTATTCCGACCGTGCGCCCTCCCCCCGCCCCTCCCCTTTCGCCCCCCTCCTCTTGCCTCCGTGCCCCCCGCCTTCCCCGGGCCCCCCAGGCCTGATTTCGACCGTGCTCCCCCCCCCCGCCCCTCCCCTGCGCCCCTCTGCCGTTGCCCCCGTGCCTGGCCTCCGCGCCTTCTCCCCCGTGCTTCCACCGCCCTCCCCGGGCCCCCCTCCCCTTATTCCGACCGTGCGCCCCCTCCCCCCGCTCCCCCCATGCACCCCCCCTCCTCTTGCCTCCGTGCCCCCGTCTGCCCGATGCCCCTTCCCCTAATTCCGACCGTGCGCCCTCCCTCCGCCCCTCCCCTGCGTTCTTCTCCCGACGCCTCCGCGCTCCTCCCCGCGCCCCCCGGGCGCCCCCGCCCTGCCCCCCGTGCCCCCGCCGCCTTCCCCGGGCCCCCTCCCGTTATTCCGACCGTGCGCCCCCCTCCACCGCCCCCCCCCCTGCGCTTGTCTCCTCTTGCCCCCGCGCCCCCTCCACGCCCCCCGGCCCCCGCGCCCCCCCTCCGCGCCCCCC